ATTCAAAATTTCCTACCAACTAAAAGTATTAGGTGTGTCCACGCGCTCATGTGACCTAATGCAGTTGCGAGCGCCGTAAAACACTTACCCCAAAAAAAATTTAAAAAATAATAGTTGTTTGCTTAGTTATGAGCAATGATTACGCTACTGTTGTCTGGTGTCGTGTACTTTTTGTAATGTAGTTTGTTTTTCGTGTTTTGTCCGTTTCTGTTAAATGATAGCGTCGTCACACTGTATCTAATCGTTTTCTTATGTCCTTGTCTCTACTGAGATTGCAATGGTGACGTTAATGCTGTGGACTGTGATAATTAGGGTGCTTCTAGCACCTCATTGATTTTGTCTCGTCCTTAGTTTGTTTGTTTGTTTGTTTGTTTTGTTTCATTGTAATTGTTAGCGTGTTCGGGTGCACTATGATGCCGTAAACCATTACTAAAACAAAAGTGATGGCTTTACTACTGTCGTCTAGTGTAATTATGATGTTTATCTGGTGCTTTTTAATAATTAATTCCTTTTGTTTATCCCCCCCCCTTCCCCCTGTTAGTTTATCTGTGCTTTCTAATAATTCATTCCTCTCGTTTTCTCTCTCTCCGTGTTTATGTTTGTTACTCTCTTGCAACACCTCTAATCTTCGGCACTTATATAATATGGCCTTATTGTGTGGCAAGTGCTGTAAAACTCTTACTAAAACTAATAAATATTTCTCTCTCCTCCTCCCCCCGCCCCCTGTTAGTTTATCTGTGCTTTCAAATAATTCATTCCACTGTTAAGTGGTTTGCTTCTTCTTTCCTATCAAACATCTATCGTCCTTATTTCCCCTTCTTTTTTATGTTTGTTACTCTTTTGTAGAATTTTCAGTTCTTAGATATGACCTTATTGTGTGGCAAGTGCCGTAAAACTATTACTAAAATCAAATGTTTCTCTCTCCTCTTTCCCCCTCGCAGGCATCGTCCGGGCTACCCGCTGACCACAGGTGCCTTCGCGGGCTCGTTCCCGCCCTCCCTGTCCTCCCTGACCCGGTACGGCCACCCAGGCCTCCTGTCACACCCCGGCCTCGGCCACCACGGCATTCCACACCCCGCCTCCCTCGGGGCGGGGCCTAAGTCAGAACTCATGTCCCCGCAGCTCTTACAGGACTCGCACAGGTGGGTGGATACGTACGAACCTTAAGCCACGCCCACCGCCTTCAATTTTTTGTTGGTGTCCGTCGTCCCGCCCCTTGATTAATTGACCCCGCCCCCACTCCCGCATCTCTCTCTCTCTCTCTCTCTCTCTCTCTCTCTCTCTCTCTCTCTCTCTCTCTCTCTCTCTCTCTCTCTCTCTCTCTCTCTCTCTCTCTCCCCTTCTCGTGTTAGCCACGCCTATTTCTTGTAAGTTACACTATTCGCGGCTGGCGGGTGGGGGGTCAGGACTTGGTAAGTTGTATTTGTTGACGGGATAGTGGTGATGAGATTATACAGATGTTTGAGGGTGTATAAATTTGTTCAAGCTGGGATAATGACCGTGAGAGACAGGTGTTTTAACAGGTAGTAAGGAGCTTGGCTTGTTTGGGTTGGGGGTTTTTTTAAGTACAATTATTATATAATAATATGTGGCGGCCTAGATTTTTATTTCGGGAAAAGGGTGGTTGGGGGGAGGGCGTAAGGGAGGGGGGGGGAGGTATTCACGACTTGTCAGTGAAACAAATCAATGAGATGCAAATATTGTGCGTGGTATTCACCATATGTAAGGTAGCGTCACTGTTCCTAGTTTCAGGACAGACTCAGTTCGCAATGGCGGAGTGAGCAACTGGGTTAGGTTGTTTTTGTTCAAGTTCGCTCTACGGGTCTCCTTTTTATTTTATTATCACACGTCGCACTTATCGGAGACGGACGTGGTTGAGTCGTAGGTCAGATGTGTGACGTAGACTGACGTAGACACGTTGTGTGTCATACAGAGTAAGTCTTATGCTTAGTCAGATTTGTTGGTTAGAAGGATTGTGGGTTGGGGGGGGAGGGTAAGGAAAGAAAAAATGGAG